AAAAACACACACAAGAAAAAGTTAAGTTAGCATTTTGCATAACGTTTTCACAGCATAGCTGCTTCTCAGTGTTTTTTTTAACTATTTTCTTTATATTATCACTTGCGTATCGTCATTAGCTATATTATATATATCTATATATATATTCTTTTTTTAACTCTCGAACATGTCTGTACACCGTCCAACGACTGCCGCAAAGGAAGTGATTTTCTTTGTAAAATTGATATTTGATCTTCATCTTTAATCCTTATGCGGTTCAACAGTGGAATTAAAATACAAAAAATATATACTTGCTTGACGATTTTTATTTATTCATTATCTATTTACTTCATAAATTTGATGTTGTTTAAAGTATATGGAAAACCTGCTATAAATGAATTGATATGACAGATGATGGTAGTACATTCCAGATTGTTTCAGCTATCATCACGTCGCCGATGTAGTGACACACGCGTTGTTATCTTGGTGGACAGTGACTGACAATGGTAGAAGGGCCACTAGGAACCATGATAAGTTTCAGATTATCAGTAAGTGTCACATCAGCTATTACAAGTTTATCAGGTTCGGAAGTGCTAGAGTCGGATATTCATATTTTTTCTCTTATGTTATTATTAATACATAACTGACTCTAGACTGTTATAGTCAATAAATTATTTTAGTAAAAAGAGCAAATTTACTGAGAAACTGGTCCGATTTTTTTTAGTTAAGACTGTATGTTTGCCTGTTTCCGTGTATCTCGGAGTAGGTACCGTACCATTTTGCTCCAAATTTCAAGTTGTATTCCCTACACTATTTCAGTAAATGACAAAAATAAATTTAATGTGTGATGTTAAGGTTTTCTTTGACTTTCGAGATTCTGCTTTTTTATTTTCATTTCTTATTTATCAATTAATTCATTTATTTTTTCTTAATCATTATTATAAAATAGATGTATCAATGTTTTGTGAAATACAACATTTGTTATTCTAATAACACATTACAGAAAAGATTGACAAAATACCATCATGTACCTAACATATCCATATAAAATTACAATGCAACAGACAAACTTTTCAAAACAATTAGCTGTTTGTTAAATGTTTCTCCTTGTATATCATCAATATACTTATAATGATTACTAATTAAATTTCGATTTCTTCATTAAAGCATTTTATTTACGTAATCAATATTTACTGAAAAGTACTCTCTTTCATTTTATTTATCGATCTTTGATTTTGATACGCCGCCGGAGGCGGTCGTACATTGGCTTCATCTTCTCCGTCCGTCCGTCCGTACGTCCGTATGTCCAGCCGTACATACATTTCTTGTGAACGCAACTCCACCTAAACCAATTATTAGATTTTCATGAAACTTGCTCAATGTCACTACTACAATGGGTAGATGTGCATGAAGGGGCGATTTTTTGGTTCGTTGATTTTTGTAAGATTAATGCCATTTTCAACTTTTTATATGTAGCTTGCTCATAGTGGAGCCTTGTGAACGCAACTCCTCCTAAAGTAATGATAAGATTTTCATAAAACTTGCTCAATGTCACTAATACCATGGTTCAATGTGCATGGTTGCCTGGGTAGTAGTTTCGATCCCTGCATGAGCAACCGGGTGTTGCCTTGAGCAAAACAGTTTATCCACACTTGTTCAGAGTTGAAAGTCTTACTATGCTAACCAGCCGAGCTGACTTTTCATTTAAAAACTTCATTCGCAAAAACGTGGTCATTGATGTCAATGTTTTCCGTGATATATAAACATTCCTGAATTCAACCTCGAGTTCGTGCTGGAAACTGTATTTCACGATTTTTTGCAAACTCGTGCAGTCGCAATGCGTATTACGGGCTGCAGCGCAATTTTTACTCGGTCGTGGGGTTCGAGGGCCTTCAAACTTCTGCCGGCGAGCGGAAGGAACTAACTTCCACTCTACAGTATCCGGCCTGCTGCCGTTATGCTACCGAGCTGGCATGCGGCTGTCGGAGATGGTAGGTGGCAGAATGGCGATCTGCCGAGTGCAGACTCCCGGGCTCCTGAATATAAATCCGAGGGAGCATCTTGTAGGAAGGAAAATTTTCGGAAAAATTAGATCTATTTATCTTGTGGTTGATAATTATAATGTTCAGTTTGTAGTGATACGAGAGCAATCTAGGTTTATATATCCCCCGTAAAGCAGTCTGCCGCCGTCAGATTATCGGGCGGCCGCCGGTCGGTGGCAGTTAGAAAGCCCGATCGCCGGCCGGTGTCAGGTGGAAATGACCGGTGTCCGCCAAGTCGCCTGATGACGTCACACAAGCGGCAGTTTTACATTCTGGCCGTACTATCAGCGGCATTTATTCCTTATAAGGGAGGACAGTTCTTTATCTTAAAAGATACCTTGGAAAACGATACCAATGAACTCGTCACCTGGTTTGAGGATAATGTATGAAAGCATCCCTGGCAACTTTCCTCTGATTTCTGCTGACCCCATTGCTCAAACCTTTTAATATTTTAGATAATATTATTCAATATGAATTGATATGATTGCAGTCTGAATTTTAATGTCCATATTTGTTCGAAAACCTGCACTTGAAATCTTTGAATGTTATTGTTTTCAGTTGAAATAGAATGGTCATTTTCAGTCATTTATCAAATTTTAATCATCAGAACATTTTTTTTTTAAATGCATATTGGCATCTGACTTCTATGTGTAAGGAGGATTAAAGGCCATGGATAAATTCAACATTGTATACTCAGTCGTATACCCTGAATATGTTCATGGTTTAATGTTACCTATTTAAAATTTCTTTTATAACTTCAGAGCAGAATGTACAGTGGAGTCGCGAGATCATGCATAGTATGGAAGTTTTCCTAACGAGCTCAGGCGCATTTCTTCAGTGTGCTCCTACCCCTGATGGCTGTGTTTGTAGCTGTTCCTTTGTTCTATCCTGATTAACGTTTTCATGCTAAACTTTCCTTTTTAAACTATCTCCTACATGTTTTTCGCCTCGTTTGTTCGCACATTGCTGCAGGACGAATTGTTTCCTAGCTACAAGGTGATTTCATATTTGGATATATATTGTTTTACTTTTCAACAACGTCTCCTTCAAACTGGACACATTTGTTCCATCTAGTTTGCCAGTCATCGACACCCGAGGGTAGAACTGCATATCTTGGTCCTCTTTTTGGCAGCCCTTCGCAACAGCAGTCAGCTTATCATAAAACATCCGGGTCCAAAGGTGTTTTGTCGCCGGGGGCTTCATTCTCGGTCCCCATCGGCTGTCAAGAGTGCTTGTAATTTGGGAGAATGCTTGCGGCTAAGTCTGCAGAAAAGGGTGGGTGAGGAAGGATTTCTCATAGCCTCGCGCACGCATAGACAGACAGACAGACAGACTCATGATTTGGTTAGCGTTATTTTCCCCAATACTTGTAGATCCATATGAAAAGTAGTCGTTGTCAATCGTTCTTACTGTTCATTTGTCTTTGGAAATATGGCGCGCCTTAATTTAATCTACTTACTGACCAGTTCATAATGATAAAGCCAGGTTCCATCACGAGTTTCAACGCTAATGTAAAAATAATATCTGGGTTGGTTTGTGTGCCGCGTATATGGATCCATATGGAAAGTTTGCTGCTTCTATCACTAACTTACTGATCTTCCTCACCGGTGACGATCCTCTTTCATTCATCAAGCAGTTGGTAGAAGAAATTAAAACCTCTCGTAAACGGCCAGTCACATGCTCTACATGAAATGTGTGTTTTACCATCCTGAGGGGAAATTTGCGAGTGCTAAAACTTCGGATAACCCGCTTTGTGTCTTTCTCTTATCGTATGTTATTATTGCTCCTTTATCTTGCTCCATACTCTACAGAAATATTTCATTTTGTAAAACATCAGTGGTTTAGTATTTTAAAAAATATCTAATTTCGGCGAATACGTATTTATGTCTATGAATTCGGTCATTTTCACGCTTCGCTCTGGCAGTTTGGTTTCATAATATTCGTGAGGTATCTAAGTTACTGAATCAAATTTTATTTTTTTAACAGACATTTACTCAATCGTGCTTCTGATTTGATAAATTCGATGTTGTCACGATGCTGAACTCAACAATTCTCCATGGATAAATGACAGCTCGGCTTGACTTTCTCCCTTATATTCGCATATATTGTTCGCTGTATATGTAATTTGATGTATGAGATTTTGATATCCTTTGTTATCGCCTGATATCGATATATTTTAAGGTAGCAGTACACAGTTTCTCGGTGTGGCCATGGGTGATTTTTTTGCTCATTAGATTACCCCATTATAAAGGTTTTAATTAAAAATGAAAAAAAATCCTTGCTAAAATTGGTCCTGTCATGTTAAAGTGGATAATGTGGGGTTTCATTTTTTTCAGGATAATATTTTAGCTTTGTGTTGGAGATTACTATTTGGGCAGTCTGGAATCTGTGTCTACGCACCAAAAACTAGCTTTACAGGAATTGAAATTTTCATAGTGTTCACATGTGGTCATGTTATGAAGAATTTCCGAGTTGGAATTTGCTGAAATGTAAGTACTTTGTTACCATGACAGTGTTGTTGATTGTAAGATAGGTGTTTAGAATTAAATTTCTCCTAGAAAGTTGTAGTGTTGGGTTGGAATTAGCAGTATTTTGCATTTTTAGCATTTTTTCAGTAGGTAACCATGACAATCAAATGTCAGAAATCAGAGGAATTTTTTTTTTACACAAATTTCATCTCTCTACTGTTAATGTAATTGTTATATAGATTATAAATATATATACATGTAATGATATATTTTCCATAACCAATCTGCTATACCTGTATATCTCAAACATGACAAATAATTTCAGGAAAAATACAAATTAACTGTTTACTGCTACCTAATTAGTTTGTCGTAATACAGTAGCTCTGAACTATATCTATACTTACACACAAGAGAGCGTGTGAAGGGAGGTAACTCGTACGGTCCACTAGAGGGTGTATATCTACTTCCGGAAATATTTACATCAATGGCCGTCATGTTCACATGACTTGCATCTTATTTTCTGGTCAGGAACTTAATGAATAGAACTTTGAATATCGACAATACATATAACATACTTTAGAGGTAAGGTGATCTCAAAGGTCAAGTTAGATTGGGCATCAAGTGGTCATTTTTTTATCGTTTGTGAGTGCGAGAAACACAATGTTGACAAAAAATCACAAAAATGTTACCAAGATAAACCTTGTAAGACAGTTGTTGTGGCTAAAATACTATCATTCGGGTTTAGAAGACATCTGGTTCCATTGTATTCTTTAATTATTCAATATCTTGCTGTAATAAAATATTACATGCTAAACATTCTGTTTGGAAATGTTATTCACTCTGTTCAATTTGAGGAATATGATAACTTGTACTGTAACGTCTGTGGTGTATTATGGTACATAATCAAGACCTATATATTAATATAAGCCCGACCAGTGTATGTTTTATCAATAAACATAATCATGTGTAACATAGTTTGTGTACACCAATGTGTTTATATTTATGTGATGTATTATGTATCTGGAATCCTAGAATCCTATGGATACTGCATTGGACGAAAGACATTATGGTGAACAGATGTCTGGTTAGGAGCATAATAAAAATATATTTCAAAGAAATCCAGAACTTTAATATTGTATATGTTAGTGTGAAAGTTAAAAGTACATGTTACTTCAGTAGTTCCAAAGTGTACTTCTGTAAGCTATAGGAGACTACAAGGCCTTATTGGAGCTATAGAACCTGGGATGTGGTTGTCTTTAGGTGGCTAAGGAAGAAGGAGTGTATAACATTCCAGATAAACATACATATCATCTCTCTATTTTTATGTAGTAATTCTCTTTGTATAATTATATAGTATATAGTGTTAGGGTGATCATCTAGAAAAAAAGAGGTTACATTTTCCTCCAACGTAGATAGGATGCTTTTCATAACATACATTGTATAATACTTTGATATCATATAGTAACATATACTTTAAGTATCAGATGTTATATGTGTACACAACATCAGTGTTATTCCATATATTATTGTTTATTCATGACAGTCTGTCATGAAATGATGTAAGCTGTGAAACTGATGTAAACAGGGATGTATATACAGAGGGAATAAATTTAAGTTCACTAGCCTTGCTGTTGTTACCAATTATTTTCTCCAAAAGTATGTAGCTTATCTTTTTTTCAAAATAATCAGTAGTTGAAAGCTTGATCATTTTCAAATTGATTGTACTAAAATTTGTGATAAATAATCTCTGTTTACTTTTGATGTTTGTAAAAACCAAAATGCATATTTAAGTTATATACAACTGAAATACCATTGTATGCCACTTGCTGTCTGAAATATGCAGAAAATCATCTTTAAATAGATGGCATTAAAAAGCTGAATAATTTTCCGATTGTCCCTGCCAACTTTTGTGATGTGTTACTTTAATTAAGTGGCATATTTCAGTACAAACTTTGGTTTCACATCTTTCATTCACAAGCACTGGTAATAAAATATATTTGTTGGTGAATTTAGATATGCTTTCATTAGTATATACGATGGTCACACTTGACACATATTTTAATTTCTTACCAGAACCTTTGGGATCAAAATTCAGCTTTTCATTCTTTACTTTTGTACTTATCAAAGTTTCCAACAATTTATGATTTTGTAGAAGAAGATCACTATGAACAACAAAAAAGTATGAAAGTTTTTTGACATGATAAACTCCTTATATGTTCCTATCAGTGTAAGGATAATACATCTATATTCAAACTGAATTATGTGCAGTTGTTCAATGTGTTGTAGAAACGTTGAATTTGGCAGGTCACGGGGTGAAACATTTGAAGCTTTCTCTGTCAAATGTAAATTTTCCATGATGAGGAACTTGAACATTGTGAAATTTTGTATTCAATCATCATTATAGAGAATATCAAACTTACTTGCAAAATGAAAATTCCCTACAATCCAGGTCATGTTTACAACGGGGTAACTCCTACTGTCACCTGCAAACTCTCCAATATGGCGGTCAGTATTAGCATCATAGTGACGCTTTATCAGGTTGATTGGAAATCAGCCAGATATCACACAAAACAAGATGAAAATGTAAAAATTCAATGAGAAAAAAATATAAATCGATAGAGATGGCATTCAAATTAAGGCTTTTTTCCTAATACAGTATTAATCTTGTTTTGAAGGAGGACACAGGACTTGTAGTTGTTCAGACCTTGGTAGGTCAAGGGAAGTAACTCTGGAAAAAAACTCTGTTTACGAGCCAAGTTGGTAACACGTACAATGAAATATAATAACAGAACTTTGACAGTCACAAGTATAATGTAGGCCTATGATTTAATCTCCCTACTGAATAAGCATATCCTTGTATCTTAAATCACAACCATATAATAGGAACTTACAAGTAGGAACTGAAAGTATTTTTCATGAAATGAAATATTTGTGCTTTTGATTTATTTTTGGAATAAAAAAGGATTTTTTTATCTTATTCTATCTGAAAACATTGGATGAGAGTTCAAATATCAGGTAAGATTATTATGTATTATCCCCATTTCTGTGCATCATAGCTCTTTATTTTGTGCATTATGAATTGTGAATGTTGTGTATGCAGTATTTGTGTATTGTTGTACTTGATAGTGATAGTAATTTTTTTATTTTCATTGTCATATATTGAAAAAAAATTCAACAATAAAAATCTTTACATATTTCAATCAATTTATTTTCAACCATTGAAGAAGTTCAATCATGGCTTGATATCTATGTGAAAGTCTGATTTTTCGTTTTAGAAATTTTTAACTTATTTTGTACTAGAAAAAAGTTGATATACTTTTATGGCTTTGTGATGCTAGTACAGTTGTTACCAGTAAATTTCAACTCATCCTAAATAATGCTAAGCTTTACCGTGATTGCTGAATGACAAGGTCAGCGCTCTCCATTTTCTTCAAGTTCAATTTGTTATTGGTTGTAATCTGCAAAAAGAAATAAAAAATGTTTACAATGCATTATATGTTAAATGATGATGATGATCACTTTCAATTTAATTTTGTTTACAGTCCATAACACTAGTCGACTGTATCAAACTTAACTTCCATATGGTTCAAAATATGTACAGTTCTTGATATATGTAGTTTAATTTTTTAGATATCTTTATCAGAATTGATAATCACGTTTAAGCACTGCTATATGATATATACCATATATGACAGGTTTTTCTAGATTTATCCTTAGGATTCCTCCATGAAAATAAAACTAACAAACTTGAATTGATAAAGAGCTCCATTATATAGTTTTAATACTTTCTCTAATGGCAAAATTATGACGTATTTCTAAAATGAGTTTTTCTGGTTTTCACACCACAAAATAGCAATATTTGCGTGCAAACCTGCAGTTATACAGAAAAAAATTACCCCATGGATTTGTATATATATTAAACCTGTGATACACCCTGTACATGTCTATGCTTTGTAAATATGAATACTTTGAGCATTTTATTCTTGTAGGTGTATAATGTCCCAATTATATTTGCATGTTTACCCAGGTATAATTATAACAATAGTAGTACTAGCACTATCCAAAGACATTTTGTTTCCTCAATCCCTTCACAATTCTTTATACTTGGCACTCAGATCAATTACATGTAAAATTAATCAGATGTACATGCATTGCTCCTGTGATAAATACTGTCGGTACAACTGTATGTGTTATGTTTAAAAGTTTGAAAAATTTGAAAGAAAAGTTTGAAAATTGATTGCATTTTTGATTTTTTGTTAAGCCCATACCTGGTAATAAGACCATTTACGTGTATTGTAGTTTCAGTAGAAATGTTCTATAATTGTCCTGTAATAAGCCCACCACCATACTTTTGCTCTTATAGCTTTGTGCAAATTTGGTTTCTTCAATACATCAATTAGTTTAACTATTATTCTTTCCCCCAGTGATTATTTAGTCAGGTTGTAGGCTGTAATTGTAGACTTGAAAACTGTTAAATAAATAAATAAAGAGAAGTCTTTATATTTACTGTGGCAGGTGCTAGCTTTGATTTTGAAAAAAATTGGTATCCAGCTTATGCTATGTCAGGAGAATCGTTGGATCAAAAAGAAAATCAAGTATTATATATTATATAAAATATTATTTCAAGTAGACATTATAATGGCCATGACCTTCGTGTAGAAAGTTATTGACCATTTGTTTGGTAATGATTTTGATATACTAGACCAGCCCCTTCACTAGAATATTCAAATCATCAATAAAATTGAGCTGATGATTTAGGTCTTGTAATTATGTCTGATTCCAGACCTTTGCTTCAAACTAGGTGGACGACATACTGATATAAGAATTTAGTTGAGTCTTTACAAAAAGTCTGATAGCCAGTGTATTGATATACATGGATACAGAATTGATTTCCAAATAGCCAATTATTATACATGTATATTGTTTCTAGACAAGGAAGAAAATATTTCCCGCTACTTGGACAATTGCTATATGTGTAATGATGAACACTTCAGAAAAACAGAAGAAATGGTGAAGGTTGATTTTTGGAGATCAAAATATATTTATAATATGTCCGAAAGTTTCCTAGTCTAACACATAATGTAATTATTGATAACTTAATCCAACTGAAGATATATCTAGATAATTGTCTACTCTAATTTGGTGTTGATGAGTTGAATGAAAGATTTCAAGCTACTGAAAAATACATTCATTCCATTCATTTAATATAGAAATGTGCCATTAATATTGAAAAAGAAATTCCTGAAATCTGGACATATGACCAAATGCAATACATTAATTGTATTTGAATAAACCTCCCTAGTGGCAGGGTCTGAATCATCAATCAGCTGTGTGTGATATCAGTATTTGGCTCAAAGAATGTTTATCTCGTTATAAAACTTCTCAAGTATTTCTGATACCTAAAATAAATGTTTTAATAAAAAAAAAGTCGTAGATAAATAAAAATACTCTGATTTGTTTATCAGTATTATAAGATACAACAATGAAAAATAGATATACTTTCTGCTAATTTACAATTTGTGTAAAGTAAGTGTGTGTAGATTTTTATTTTTCTGTTTTCTGATTTTCTGTGTATTAATGTCCGTTATTTTTTGTATTATTTTCGTTGATTTTTTAATGAAGGCTTATTGTGACATGTGACACGTCACATTTTATCCTCCATTGTTCTGCTTTGTTTGTTAAATCTGATTAGTTTTAGCAATTTGTGGAGAATAATACAATTAAAAGCTAATAAAACACCTGAATTGATATATTATAATAGTTTACTAATTATTTGATCTATTATCTATCTCTGAGGAAAGGAGTTTAACACAAATAACATTATTAATACATGAAGGTTTCACTTATTTCCTTGTATTGATCAGATAGTTTCTCCTTACGTATCATTACAATCTAATAGATCAACTTGACAAATATTCATGTGATCTTAAAGGAAAACAATTTTTTTTATGAATTTTGAATTGAAGTATACATCCCAAGACTTGTCAAAAGTGTAACTTGCATTATATATATATGTTTTATGATGTGATAAGATCTAACAAAGATGGCGATGTCAGACTTTATTCATACTTTTTCTACTCTGTACAGCTCTACTTATGACTTAACTTTGTACATGTATCTTAAAACGATAGGTGTTGTACTAAATTTGTTTTGTATTTGAAAATGTTAAATATTTCCTTTTCTTTCAGACACCTGTATGTGAATACAATAGCTTGACCCTGAAGTGGTCAACAGGCCCCATCTTGTACATCTATACAAGCATATGATGCTGAAAAGGGAGTGAACTGATGAAACATGGATGTCGACTCATTCAGTGAGAATGATCTCCTTCTTTTAGATAACCACATGGATGGTGGAGCAAAGTTTTTAGGTAGCGGAGCAAATGGCACTGCTGACTCTCGAAGAGACGGGCGACAGGAAAATGCTCAACGCAGTGTGAGCAGTACAGACGATGAACTGTTGGACATCCGTACTGACCGTTACGGCCCTGGCAGCTTGGGATCTGACCGCTATGAAACACTTGGCTACATGAATGCTGACTATGATGATGAAGAGGAGGGAAAGTTTCAGACAAGTGAGTACAGATAGTAGTGTTAGAAATCCTATCATTTTAGTGTAACAGCAGATATGCCTTCACACATACTCCGCATTACCAAAATATGTCGGTGCAATTTTATCGGATGGGGCTAACTGTATCACACGTCCAGTCTATCTCATCCTATTCCAAGTCAATGTTATAGCTTGGAAACCTCTGAACAGTTTTTAGGCTAAACATACTCAGTACGTAATAGCCTATTGCGACGGCCTTCAGAAAAAATTTGCCGATCCTAGCCATCTCGTTGGCTGAAATATCGAAATGAGTTAGAGCCCTCTGGCAGCAATTTTCTGCATAAATAATGCCGCGATCTTTCAAATCGCTATTTTAAAACCATCCACAATTAGTTTATTTTTTTAAATAACAATATGATTACTATATATTTTAAAATAAGATGCACAGTGTGGTTGAACTATTGATAAATTTTGAACAACATGTTTTACCGAATTTGCTCACGGACATCCCCGACCTCTGCTGCTGAAGAAGATCGACCTGAAGTGATTCTTATCGCCTGCTGTGAATATTCCTAAAAAACAACCATATCTACCTTAAGTAAGCAAAAAAATGGTTTCTTGTATCTTCAAAATTTATTGTAACTGCATAACTTGATTTACAGTGTATTTACTGTATGGCGGCTTATGAATCCTTCTCGACATGACCTAAGCGTCCAGAGCACTGTACGTGCAAGTTGGCGCCATGATAAGAAGCTAGCCTGGGGGCTTGGTTTGAATTATCAACTAACATCACTTTTAAACAAACAAAACTTACAAACATAACATCAATTTTGCTTTAATCCTTGTCGTTGTGGCAAAATCGTCTTAATATATAACATCACTTTACCTCATTAGACGTCACAAAATTGGACAGTTCGTCCCACGCGCACACCCACCGATATGACACTTTTTCAGGTTTTTCACACCCGCCGCCATGACACTTTTTCAATTTTTGAAGATAAAAAGTTTGCGTTTCGTAGGCAAGGTACATTTGGTGCTCATGATTTATGAATAATATATTTTTAATACTGTACTGATCATGATGTTGGCTTTGTTATAACTTATATTTTTTGTCATTTAGTTTTATTTGATGAAGGTTGATTGTGCTGATTTCTCAAGGTTTGTTAATATGTATCAAAGTTCCTTAAAATGAAAATATTCCTTCAAACAAAGCGCGTATAAAACAAAACTCAAAATATTCATGTTTATAATTTTCAGTTAACTAGAACAAAATATTTCCATAACATATTTATTCATTTTGTGTGTCATGGTGACATTATCTAATGCATTGGAGATCAGAAATAGTAGTAGCGAGAGTGAAAATATTGTTAATTTTGTATATGTATGGAAGTCTGGTTTAATCTCATAGAACTATGTCTTTATAGATATAATTACTGGAAGAAAAGTCTAACCATGATACTTCTAGGAAGATAAGTATGTAAATACATTTAATGTAATTATTTACACTTTTATCTATCTGAAATGCTGTGTACACCTTATCTACTTTCCTCAACCACATATATAATTATAATAAGTAAGGACTATTACTTTGCAATACATTTAAAATAAAGAAGTAGGTATAAAGTCCTTTCAATTTGTCTTAATCCTCATATTGAAAGGATTGTAATTGCAACATCTTGGGTATTTCAAAGGTTTTATTTAGTCAACTTCATCATAGAGCTATTTATAATTTGGCTTGTTGGCAATAAATATATGGTTGTGTGTATTTTTTAAACCTATTTTGATTTGTTCACATACTTGTCGTCAATTTTGAAATTAGAATTAAAGAAGATATAAAATCGCTTAAAATTAAGAAAAATAGCGTCTGGTTCTCTTATTTTAGTATTTTTTTAATTCCAAAGTGTAGGAATATGGGGAAAGTAATATAGCTTTGCAGTTATTTGTGAACATTTTTCAATACGTTTAGCCTCTCAGTACTTTCAGTACTTTGATTATCTATATAATAACACTCCCTAGTGGCATAACAATAGGTTCTACACCTGATCAAATTCTGATGTGGTTGTATGTCTTCTATACCTACAGACAAACACATGCACAGAATCAAGTCACATGAAAAAATCTTTCAAATATCTTCAGATGTTAATGACATCACACATTTCAGAATTTCACCTGAATTTATGATTAATTGTTCTTTATTTCCTGGCTTAAGTCTTCCCTCCACCTCAGTGTTATTTTTATCAAGGTATCTGAGCTATCAAAAACAAACCTATGTATGTATCATCATTCCACCAAACTTTGCAGATTCAGAATTTCACCTACAGTGTATTGTTAATTGAAATTTGCTAATTATTTATACCATGTTCAAATTTTCCCTAATATCACAATTTAAAAAAAAAATGTCTCTATGTATGTAGAGCTAAAATTTCTGTCTTCATATGTATTTGTTAAATCCTTATGATATGGAAATGCGGCCACACACGAGACATAGTAAAGTGCAATTCTTGTTTTTTATGAAACACATTATATCTAAATCATGTGATGTTATCTTTCTATCTGATATACATTCTTATCAGCTAAGTTTATCAATAAACCACAGAAGTAGGACGGTTTTTATTGACCCTGTCAAAAGTGTCACAGTAATGTGGACAGGATTTTTATATTATACTGTAGAAAACCATGTAATGTGCGCAGAAAACTTGGTTCACAGAAATTGTAATTACCTGGATTGGTCAGTAATAGGTAGATAATGACTTGTACCAGAGATTTCAGCACTGAACACTGTTGATTAAGCCTATTGTGAAGACAAGTGTTTGTGTACATATGATAAGTAAATTTCAGTACCTGGTAATTGGATTGGTAAGTATATGGTAATGCATAACATGTTTGATGTCAAAGAAAACAAACGAGAAATGCTCAAGCATTAGGCATTTTTTTTATCCTATAAATAGAAAGTAATTAAAAGTCAGTAAATGAAATGAAAAAAAAAAAAATTCTAAACAGAAAGCTTTCAAGTGTTGGACTATCTATCGTTGGTCTGACATGTTAGCTGAACATTCTGAGATTGATTTTTTGGCTCTTGGAGATCAATTTTGACTGAATTTTTGGGTGTGCACAAAAAAGTACCTGTGCACTTAGGTGTGCACATTACACAGCTTTTTGTGTTAGTTACTTAATCCTTTTCTTGTAAGTTTTTGAAAAATTTTACAGAAAACTTTTTTGCATTATCTAAGCGATCATTAAAAAATCTGGTTACATCAATAATCGTCAAAAATTTTTTTCAAAGTCAACATTTATCTTTAAGGAGAATCTGGTATATTTAGCAATACTTTGTACAGAAAAACTGTACTACATAGGAACATGATTTCATTATAAATAGGCGACAAAGACAGCTACTTAAAAGGAATTGTTTCTTCAGGTGACAGGTCAAAATAGGTCATTCATATATAGCTGACTTGGTAGATATAGCAAACAAGTTTGATACATGATTGATGAGGTAAAGCATGTGTAAAACTTCACACAGATAGAAATCTTGTTGCGAAAAATATAGAGTATATATATGTTCTGCAGTGTCTTTAAAGCCAGGTTGACCTTTATAACTACTCTTTAATAAAGAGATCTATTGGTTAAACTAATTCCTAGATTTTATATTGGGTAGATTATGTGATACCGGAATCAGGAAAACCTGTCCTAGATTTTATATACAATATATTAGGGAAATTATGTAATTTAGGAATCACAAAATTATCAGTCTTAGATTAATTTCAGAATGTTGGAATTGCTGATTGTAACTTATATAAAACAGCCAGTACACTTGTTCAAAATTCTAACTTGATATGGAACTTAAAAAATTGAAAATCTAGACTTGAATATAATGTTACTTGTCAGTTGTATTTAGGAATTAATGTTTCCTTATTGGTAAAACATTAAAATAGTATGTACGTACCTGTTTCCACTTCTGTCGACGCATTGCCTTTAGGTGTTGATAATGAGAATTTAGTGTTTTATTCTTACCGTACACTGACTAATTATATTTTAAATACGTAGGTGGACAGATTTATCTATAGACTTTTTATATCTATACCACAGTACATATATTACTTAAGTCCTGACTGGAATTCCAGTATCTGATTTGGGTGACCCGTACTGCTGTGATTTCAATAGCCATGATCTACAAGAAGCTTATCTTTTAAAAACCATTCTGAAACATTTTGACCTGTATTGTGGACTTTAATCTTGCAAATTGTATACAAAGTGTATGCATTCATACAAAAGGCTATTTGAATCCATTGAATGGGTCCTTTTGTTCTACAGTGACTACGTTTTACCTACCTGGCTATGTCATAGCATGTATATTAATAGTTCTTGTAAAACTTTGTCATGTACAATTCAGTGCAGTCATACCTTTAGGAAACTATGGTTCCATCTTTTATGAAGGTTTTAAAATTGGTGCAATTAATTGGTCTTCAATAAGGAACCTTTTATCATGGTGTAGAACATTAAAAAGTTCCTGGAGGATTCATTGTGTACAGGCTGGGATTTAAACTTTAAATCTAGTACATGTTTTGGATTTTAAATTTCAACTTTGGATATCAAATATCATAGAATTAGTGCTAAATACTTACCTTACTAAGTAGCTTGATTAAAAATGGCGAAAATGCAAAGACTGTTATCCTCCACTTCGATAGAAAATGTAAAAATGGAAGTGCTGGAGTACTTCAGTGATACAGGCGATTATCTTATGGACAGTGGAAGCGAGGAAGGTGACAGCGAGGGGGACCCCTTCCTCAACAGTAAGTGTAGGGGATCCCTTACAGGTTATCATTAGTATCATAATTTTGACTGAGTATAAGTCCAGGGAGTGAGAAAAGGCATTAAAACTTAGTAGAAATAAGGGGATGAGCTTATCCCCAAAATGGACCCCAGGCGAGACAAGGTGTGGTGTAGGCTATTTAAGGTGACCTTCTCTTTTCACATGTTATTGTTGTAATTATGGTGTACATATGCAAGTGGTATGTACACTGTCCT